TTAAAATTATTTTTAATTAAATATTCTTTTTAAACAAATCTTTAATTTTTCAATTTTACATAAATAATATTTATATTCTTTATTTAATTTTTATAATTTTGTTTTGTTTAATTTTTTCTTTTTTATTATTATTTTTTTGTAATAATTTAAGAATACCTTAATTGTTTTATCCTTTAATTTATTACATCATTTGTTTTTTATTAGGGTTGATGTCTTGCGTACGATATTTACAATTCGATTCGCTTAATTTTTCGAGATTATGTGTTATTTTATTATCTTGTTCAATGTTATAACATTTGAATTTTTGCAAGATGAAGTATCATTTAGATGCAGAGTTGAGGAGAATGGCTAGGAAAGCTACTTAAAACAGTAGTTTTGAGAGTTTTACTTCTGTGTTGGAGCTGCTCAATGATCATCGTGGAGATATGATGCGGTAGTCCTTTTTGTGACCCATATACCAATTACGAGAGGTGCCGTATTCAGGACATATCATCGATGCACTGCTATGTCGGCTTCTTAGGCCGTCGACGACAATACCCTCCACTTCGACCTCGTGGGCAAGGTTGTTAGTTTCTCGATGTTTAAGTTCGCTCTGATCACTGGACTGATGATTACAGGCGATAGAGGTAGCCACTGAGAGAAGCAACAGGTTGTATAAGACGTACTTCTATGGACATGGGATGGTGCTTCTACCCTAGTTGTTGGGGGCGATCAGGGAGTGCGAGCAGATGTTAGATAGGTTGAAGTTTGGGCTGGTCTACATCCTTGAGAGCGTGATGATGTATCTTACAAGAAGACTGTCATCGACATTTTTCATTTGCAAGTTGTTGACGACATCGATGCATTCAACAACTATCCGTGGGGGCCGGAGAAGTTTTGAGGACACTGTACACGTCTTAACCAGATCACACTCGAAGCCCAAGGGGTCCATGCGTAAGTACGATACCTATAGATTGTCATTGGCAGTGCAGGTAAATGTTTGACATAATCAACGTTTAAATTTTTTTATGCTAACTTTATATATGAT